GTGTTCGTTTACTGAATGAATGGTTTCTACTCTGTTTAATGTGGCTCTCTCAGCCTGGTAAACTTGCTTAACTGAAGTTTTAACCTACAAGACATGGCTCAAGCAGCACCTCCTGCAGGAAGCCTCCCCTGATTGTTCCCCAGAAGCCTGGTTTATTGACTACTCCTCTGAGCACAATTCTACAATTGCACTTACACATTGTTTATATTTACTTCTTATCTCTCCTCTTTTATACTTGGTCCTTAATAATTTTTCAGTACATCCCCATTCTCTAAAGCATACCTGGTTACCCAGTGGACATTCAGCGTATATTTGTTTAATCAAGAAGTAAACAAATTATTTTGGAGTTAATCTTAAGTATTTTAACTATATAATGTATACAGCTTATAGGTAGGCACTCAGTAAATATTTGTTGAATAGATGAATTCCTATTTACTGTTTTTCTTTTTCACTATGAAACAATATAGCAACATTAAGGCTTGTTTAAATTATTTATTAAATATTACCACTCTAATAGCAACTATTTTTCTTAGCCCATTTTCTTTTTAATTATACAAGTAAAACATAGATATGTATATATCACTGGAAAAATAAGATTCAAATAATATAGAAGTACATAAAATTTAAAGTCCCATTAATAATCTTATTTCTCTCAGGAGCTATAATCACTTCTGTCTTTTTCTATAAACATGATTTTATATACAGCGTGAAATAATATGTATGTAGTTTTAAATTATATTTTTATATGCCTGAGAAATGTTTCTGATGTTATTACTTTATAGTTTTATGGAACTGTTTGGGTTTTTTTTTTCTTTCTCTTTTTTTTGAGTTGAGTTGGACTTTGAGAAACAATGCTGTGTAACACAAAAATATTCCTTGGATAAAGGTTCCTGTTTCTAGCTTCCTCATTTATCCTTAGGTCTCATGATTTCCATTTTTGTCTCAATCATTTTGAGGTTAGAATTTCCTATAATCACCAAGTTGGAAAGAGACAGAGTCTGGATTTAAACCCAGGTCTTCTAAGTTCAAACCAGTTCTTTTTCCACTTACTATCTCTCTAACCTTCAGCTTTCTTAACTGTAAAACAGGAATGATAATGCCTGTCTTGCCTGCCCTGAGGATGAACATGGTAGTCACCTGAGAAGGAGAGTCAATACATGGGACCTCACATGTTAACTAAGATCCACTAACGGTCAGGGAAATACCTATATCCATTAATTTTCAGAAGCCATATTAATCTCTTAATTCAGTGGTTTGATTTTTTTTAGGTCATAGGAATAGAACTAGGATTTGCTAGATGCCAAACCCATACAGTTTACCTGTATATCTTTGGGCTTTGGAAATGATGTCCAGTCTGTGGCTTGGTTTCTTATGTAATTTCAAGTTACAGCTAGTAAATTATGACCAGAGTAGGAAGGTTTGGGTTGAAAAGAAGACTATTCACTTTTTCTTCACACGTTGCCACTTTTTTCCATTTTAAAATGTCCTCCCTGAAATATGGTTCAGAGTGACTTCCATGTGTAATTTTTCTGGTTTCTTTCTTAGCACTTTTCCTGGCATGTTATTTTGCTTTATCCTTCCTATGATGGCTATGGGTACAAAACTCTAAGAACCTTATTTTTATTTGTTCTGTATTCAGTAGATGCCATCACCATAAATATGTCCAGCATGAATTATGCTTCTAACATGGCAGGTATGTAATAGAAGCTTAGGGGTAGAATAGCAATGACTTGATTTTCTGTGATTCTGAACATCATTAAAGTAGGCTACCAGAGTTAGCCAAGAGAGAATTAAATATAATTGCTTGCCTAAAGTGATAATATTTTTCTAGCACATGTACTGCATATCAATGAAGGCAGATGATTTCAGGGGGAAGCAGTCCTCATTTGGGAGATGGAAAAGATCAAATAAGGGTAATAATTAAAAAGAGACCCAAATGTAGCATATGTAGACCAGGTGTATGCTGATCATTGTTTGAAGACGTCCACGAGATAAAACACTACTTATTCCAAAATATTCTGTAAAAATATTTAGTTTTCTAAAAGTCAGTAAGTCCTTGTGTATGTGTCATGGAAATTTTATAGAAATAATATGACCTTAGAAAGAAGGGAGTCACTTGACCCATTGTACCATTTTAAGAATTTTACTCTAAGGAGAGGATTTGTATTTAAAATCTAAGACAAATAAAATTAGCACATTGCTTATAGCTTTATTTTTAATTCTTTTTTTTACTCCCCCGACCAAAAAATCTTTTATACAGTAATTTGAACTCAATGATTTCAGTAATTAGGAAAGAAAAATTAGCTGTCAAGGAATAAGGCGATATTACCTGTTATCTTTTGCTTAATTTATCTTTAACTGTATTCTCATTTCATTACTTTTTCTTGCAAACAGAATAATGGCTTATTGTTGTGTAAAGTTAAGCATTAAATTTATAAAGAGTGGCACATATAATCTACAGCTAAGTCACTTGTCTTCATCTCTTTGTGTTGATCTTGTTTTGGAAATAAGAAAATTGTGTGTATTTTGTTAAGTTGCTAATTTGCTTTATTCTTTGCAAACCATAGTAGATGAGTTATAGGATTTTTTTAACGCAACTATGATGCTTATAATTGAACTATATCAGAATGAAATAAACATATTTCAGAACACATCCAACTAAATGTAGATAAGAAATGTTTTGTTAGGCCTTTTAAGTTGATGATTCATATGGCACAGTGTTATATTATAAATATTCAACACAATTTGCTTGTTTTCTTGTTATCCTCATGTGAAGGTATGTTTATTGATTTGAGAGAGAGTTACATTGATGTGAGAGAGAAACATGGATCAGTTGCCTCCTGGGGGTCAAATCCACAACCTGGGTATGTGCCCTTTGGGTATATGGGATGACATTCCAACCAACTGAGCCATCTGGCTAGGGCCAGCCCAATTTGCTTTTGATGAAAAAGTTTTTGTGGAAGTAATTTAAACTTCAAAATGTACTTGCATTCAAACTTCACTGCTCATTAGAATCACTTGTGGACTGTTTTAAAAATATTTGTTTCTGTTCCCTATCACTGACTTTCCAGGACAAGAAGCTGAACAGTAGTGTACTGGTTTATGTTTAACACACCAGTGCTTGGGTGGGAGTGCTGAAAGGGAGCACTGAATTGCAGTGCTTGCAGACTTCCGAGGTGTGAATACTTCCACCATGGCTGGTTTCAAGCTATTAAGATGATAACATTGAATGTTGGGAAAAAGTGGTAACATTGTCTAGTGTTTCCATCATATAGATACATAACCTATAAGAATAATTATAGCAAAATTTAGTAAAATAATTAGGAAGTGATGAATTTTGAGTTTTTATGTTTGTTTTAATAACTGTAAGTTTATATAATTTAATTTTTAATAATGACTGTGTTTAACAACCAGCTCACAGATTTCTGAAAATTTAACCATCGGCTCTCATGAGCTAGGACAAACTGACTTACACAACACTGGAGGGCTGCGATTTTTTTTTACCAACTAATTCTGATGCAAGCAACCTGCCAACCATTTATTTTTCTAAAATACAGACCTGATCCTAAGGCCCAAGAAGGTGTTCCACTGTCAGACACAAAATGTCTTTTCCACCTCATTTCAACTCATACGCATTCCCTTCGCCTTCTGTATTTCACCCGTGCTAGATTCAGATGGCCTGCAGCTTCTCACGTACTTCTTGCACTTTCCCACCCTCATGCCTTTTCATTATCCTCCTTCAACCTTGAATGGCCTTGACTCATCTGCCTGACTTTTGCAGCACTATTTATTTATCCTTCTAGAAATAACTCAAATGCTACTTCCTCTTATTTCCTATTGTTGGAAGCATTCCAATTCTCCTTGATGTTCTCATAGTCTTTTGTTTATAATTCATTTTGAGTTCAAATTTATCATCAGTAACAAATGTTGTTTCACTTACTAGATTATAAATGGCCAAAGGGTGCCTTTGAATCATACTGTACTTAACACTTTAATACCTGAAAATGATTAATAACACTTGTTTGTTTTAATAGAAAGCGTTGTAGATAATGCATGATACATCATTTACTTTCTATGCCTTTGAGAAATTAACCAACATTTAAACTTTCTTTGAATTAGATGTTTTGTATCTTTTTTCCCTGTTGATTAAGGACCATATTAGTAGTTATATACCTATATCTTGCACCTAGAGAACATGAATAATATGATGGCTCTCGAACTTAACAAAGAATTTCATTAGAGAATGTATGAAGCACTTAAGTTGGGGAGAAAGGACTAAATTGTATAAGTACATTTGCAAATTATTTCTATTATTCTGATAAAGCATACTTTATATTCTCAGTAAAAGCCAAAAGTCACTTTATAATGTTCCAAGCATAAAGTCACATTGGGCTTTTGTATCACTAACCTCTGTAAGAAGCAAAATATCATGCTTTGCTTTGCGGTTTGAGAGAAATTTGCTTTTATACATGTCCTTAAGGGTAAATTTCTGGTATTTTATTTAGAAAATTATCTGATTGCCATCACAATAAGTACTGACAAGAGCTGAGTGTATGAAGGAAATGTTCTAAGGTGAAAACAATCCAGCAATGTTTTGAAGCAAAGGCAGTGCATTCCTTGTTAGTGGTGTTCCATGTTTTTCATTTTTGACCCTAAGCCGCCACCTGATGGCAGAAATTAAAATGACATCTTTCGTAATATTAAAAACCTGCACTGCAATTATTTGGATTTTTGTGTATTCAGCAAGAGCCTCCAAAACTCCAAGTGCACATTTGTACAAATTTTATGAGTTTGTCGACTAGTTGGGACTTCAGGGGATTCAGATTTTTTTCTTAACGTTTGTAAGACAATGATCCTACTAGTGAGATTTGTTTAGAATCTTACCGCCTATCTTACTTCTTTTATGGGACTGTATAAAGACTCTGTTCTTTACTCAGTTTTATTTAATGAAGAATTGTACACCAATCTAGTAATTTTCCTTTTCTCTTCCCTTTCTGCAGAACGAGATCACTCAGACACCGTGGTGTTTTTTTACCTGTGGGTTGTCTTTTGTATCATCAGTTCCTGCTACACCCTCATCTGGGACCTGAAGATGGACTGGGGTCTCTTTGATAAGAATGCGGGAGAAAACACCTTCCTCCGAGAAGAGATTGTGTACCCCCAAAAAGTATGTACAGTGTTTGTGTTTGTTTAATAAAACAAACAAAACAAGGTATATCACCAGCTAAATCCTATTACAGTGTATACATAACTGCAACCTAATATATTTAGAAAAAATAACTTTACTAAAGAAATACTGATTCATTCAGTCAGCAAAAACATGTCAGGTGTTTACTATATGCTGGGCATTGTAGAAAATGAAAACAAAATAAAATTCTAGTTCTTATAGAGGCCATGAACTATATTATAATCAGATAAGTAAACAGATTGCGATGCAGTGTAATAAAGACTAAAATAGAGAAACAAATAGCTTACTATAATTTATGATTTGTTTGAACATGCAATTCTTTCCACTCAAATACCCTCTCTCCCCTTTGACTTGCAAATTCTCTTTCCTCCCTTTTAAAAGTCAGTTTTAGTGTTACTTTCTCTAAGAAGCCTTTCTTTTTTTTCTCTAAGCATATTTAGTTACTCATCCTATCCCATTTTACCCTGTGCAAGCGTCATTATAGCAGTTATCACTGTATTATCATTATTGTATTACAATTATCTGTTAGGTGTCCCTGGCCCCCCTGCATACTATAGCAGACTTAACGTTTGTGGGATGAGTCTATAAATACTTGACTGAGTGAGCAGTGCTGTGAAGGCACAGGAAAGGGAGTGCCTCGTTGCGTGGTGCATCGAGAAAGCTGCTGCTTTCATTTCAACCAGCTGTGGTTAAAGTGCCAGTTCAATCTGAAAATACATGGATAACTCTTTAGGAATTATTTTAGGATTTATGTATATATGAATAACAACATGAGAGAATGAATTAAAAAGTCAGAAAAATGAAAGTATCTTTACTCATATGTTGAAAGAAATTAAACAGTGAACTGGGAATCTTGGTAAGCGAGTTGTAATCTGAGCTCGCTCTATAGCTGCATAACTCTAGGTATCCATACTATGGTGTTTTCTCTTCTATAAGGCAGGTGTTATCTAGGTTATCTCTTGATCCCTTCCCAGTTTGAAAATCCTGTGATTGGGAGAGAAGTATAGGTTGGGCCACTATTTTATACTATGTCAGAATGCTACCAATACCTCAAAACGGTACTTTTGTGAATGTGTAATATTCAATTTCTGAGTAGGGAAGGCTGTTTGCAAGTGTGAGGATTAACGATAAATGGTAGAGTGGGTATAAAGGATGATATGTAGGGTAACTTCAGATAAGCAAATGAAGGCGGAAAAAGGGATATTTGTTGATAGTGATCCTTTTCATGCAAGCTGTAGCAAAAATTTCAGTATGCAAACTTAGAATATATGACCAACATGCTAGACATACCTCCATAAATCTCATTTGAAAAGAAAGTCAGCCCTGACTGGTGTGGCTCAGTGGATTGAGCGCTGGCCTGAGAACCAAAGGGTTGTGGGTTCGATTCCTAGTCACAGCACATGCCTGGGTTGTGGGTCAGGTCCCCAGTGGGCCACCACACATTGATGTTTCTCTCCTTCCCTCCCTCTGTGTAAAAATAAATAAATAAAATCTTTTAAAAAGAAAAGAAATTCAGTAATGGTAAGCAGAAGTCAGAGAACAGACATGAGCTCAGGTAAAAATGGTCATTTGGTGCCCACCAAATGTATGTGGCTTCCTGTTCCTTCTGTGGTTCTTGCCTGACTGCAAAATAGAACACATTTATATCTTATATGTATTGCTTAGATGAACTGTTTGTATCTTTATGTAAATATTATTAATCTATTCCTCCTTTTAAATAGTTATAACTTACTGTTTTCTGTATAATAATACTAGTGAATGGGATCTTTCAACCAATTTCTTTAATATTATAATTTTCATGATCCTAGAAAATAAATTACATGCTTTTTCTACATCATAATTTGCAAATGTTCTGGGTAGCCACAACCCTTTCAATTTTGAAAAGGTAAATAGTGGAATAAAAATCATTCCACTTAAAAAGGGAAAAATTTATTTGTGGAGTCCAGTGGAGCTTCATTTAAAAATTAAGAACATGGCTCTAAGAACCTTGAAATCAGTTCTAGGGATTAATAGTGCGTAATACTGAGCACCACACCCAGTTCCAGGAAGAATTTTTGTTATTTAAAGAGCTAATTATTCTGAAATTAATAATGAGCAAATCCATGAATCACAGTTCTGCTCTATTGGCAGTTTATGCACAGCTTGGCTAGCTGACACTGGACTCCTCAATACCGGGTAGCGGGACCTGGAAGAATTGGTTAGTTGAGTGCCGTTTTCCCCTTACAGAAATGGACGTTCCTTGAATTCAACCGTGTTTGTGAAACCCAAGCTTAATTTCATCTACTGATACCAAAAAGCAAGGCAAAACCTCCTTCAAATACAGGGTAAAGCAGTTAGCAAATAACACAGTTAATAAATCTGTTAGTCTTTTCTAATATTAGTTATTGAGTTGTTAGCATATCACATGCATGTTAGAATGTCATCTCAGTCAGACTGAGGATCTCATCTGGCCGACGAGATCTCATCTGGCCGATTTCTTGTGTCTAGAAGAGCCTACTGTACAATATGGGAATGAAATATATTTGTTAAATGGTTACTGAGATTCAGTTAAGCTTCATAATGGGTAAGTATTATACCTTCAAGACGATAAAACTAAATTTTTGAAATCTTTTCAAAATATAAAATAGAATAAAACTCTCTTTCTTCTTGAACCTGTGCTCATGGGTGAAGTGTATACCAGTCTCGTTGCTGTTGTAGGGGTACTTATTTGCGTGAAGCATGACGATGGAGGTACTCAATTTGCTTGTCATTCCTCAGGCCTATTACTACTGTGCCATCATAGAGGATGTGATACTGCGCTTTGCTTGGACTATCCAAATCTCAATTACCTCCACGACTTTGTTGCCTCATTCTGGGGACATCATCGCTACTGTCTTTGCTCCCCTTGAGGTTTTCCGGTAAGCAAACTACTGAAAAGTTTATCAAAGATGCTTTTTACCTAAAAGATGTCCGAATTAACATTTATTAAAAGTTACACTTGAAAAGCTTAAATTTTACAACTTTTCTCAATGTTACCCTCAGAGCTGGAAAATTCTACAAGACTAAGAGATTAAGCCTTACAAAGTTAAATAAGGATGATGACATATAAGCTTTTTCAGAATTGGGCTCCATCAGAAGGGCCATGAGTACAACTGGGGAAGCAAAAGGCCTTAGAACAGAAATTTAAATCTTTTGAGAATCATTTTTTGTAAATTTGTCAGTCTTAGTTTGTCAGCTCAATGTTCTCACTAGACAAACAAAAAAATGCTGGACAATATTTTAAGTCTTCCTAAAAACATCAGTGATCTGACAGGATAGCCGAAAATCTAAGTGAAAGCAGGTACCCCACATAAGCAGAGCCCTAAAGTCAATTTTGCGCTAAAGAAATTTGCCAGAAAGACTTGAGATTCAATTGTGGTAGCAGTTCAAATTTTAAGCTAATGACATGGCTTTAAAATATCACATGGTTAAGAAATAGAAATAGATGAATTTATAATTTTAAAGGAAGATACTAATATGCCTTTCTCAGTAATAAAGAAGTAGTCAGCTAACCAACATGACCTAATTGACATATGCAGGGTACTGCATACAACAACTATTAAGTATACATTCTTTCAAATGTATGTGGAACATTTAACAAAATTAACCATATGTTGGGCCATAAAGGAAATTTTAGAGTATTAGAAATCACAAAAATATACCTGAAAATTCCCAAATGCTTAGAAATTAAGCAGTACATGTCTAAATAACCCATGGGTCAAAGTTGAATTAAAATGGAAATTAAAAAATGTTTTGAACAGAATGAAATTGAAAGTGTGACGAAAGAAGATGTGGATTGCAGCTAAAGCCATGGTTAGAAGGAAATGATAGCCTCAGATGTATATATTAGAAAAGTGTACAGCGTAAGAAATTAGAAGAATTTAAAAATCAAACCCAAAAGAAAGAAGGAAGGAAGGAAATGTAAAGAACAGAAATTAATGGAATAGAAAACAAACATACAATAGAGAAAAATTCACAAAGCCCAAGTTCTTTAAAAAGACTAATAAAATTGATAAAATGTCTAAACAGGGCAGATCAAGCCAAAAAGCAAAGTAGGCACAAATTACAAATGTAAAAAATACTAAAGATTTTTTTAAAGATTAAGATGATATTGGGTACTTTTATGCCAATAAGTTTAAAAATAAAGATGAAATAAACAAATTCCTCAAAAAGCATAGTTTACCAAAACCAATAAAGAAGAAATAGGCAATCAGATAGCCTTATATCTATTAAAGAAATCAGATCCCCGTTAAAATCCTCCCCACAAAGAAAACTACAGACCCGGGGAAGTCTTCCAAATATATGAGGAGGAAGTATGGTCAGTTTTACAGAGGCTCTTCCGGGGAAAAGTGGCGATAAAAGGAGCACTGTCGTGTTCATTTTATTAAGCCAGCATGACTTTGATATCTAAACCTACCGGGGCATTTCAAGAAAACTAGTCTGTCTCATGTGTAGAGATGCAGGAATTCTGAGTATGAGCTAATGTAATGAATCCAACAATCTATAAAAAAGGATAATATATCACAAACAAGTTAGGTTCATTCTAGGAACGTAAGATGAACATTTAAAATAATTTTTTATATTTAAAATAATTTAATATTTAAAAATCAGTCTGCATAACTCACCACATTAATAGAATAAAAGGGGGAAGCCCTCAATATATGCAGAACACACTGTTGAAATAAGTCAGTACCTATTTATGAAAAAAATAGGTTATCTACAACAAAGGTAAACAAGATCATATTTAATGGTAAAACACTGTAAGCTCGCCCTCGAGATCAGAAGTGTGATCAGTGTGCCTGCTGTCACCATTTAGCGTCATGCATGTACATATAGCTAGTGCAATGAGGCGGAGCAGTATAAGGGTTAAAAAGGAACAAACAAAAGTATAATTACTTACCAATGACATGATTGCATATGTAGAAACTGAAGAGAATATACAAATACACTATTAAAATGAATGTAGCTGTGTCCCTGAATACAGAGTTTATATAAATGTAAATTAGCATTCTAAAAATGTCACGAACAACTAGAAAATGAAAATTTCAAAAACCATACCATTATGAATAACATCAGAATATATCAAATATGTAGGAATACATTTAGTGAAATATGTGTGTGAAAATTGACAAGCCAGTTCCATAATTTATACGGAAATAGTAAGGATCAAAAAAGCTGAGACCATCTTGAAAAGAACAAAGTTAAAGGACTTACCCTCTCTAACATCAAGATTTGTTATGTAGTTACAGTAACTAAGACAATGTCTAGCGTTGGTGAAGCAAAGACAGTGTCCACTGAAACAAAATAGGAAGTCCAAACATCCACACATACATTGACACTACCTAATTTATGGCAGAGGTGGCTAAGAAACTGGAGAAAAACAGGTCTTTTAATAATGATTTTGAATCAACTACAAGCATATAGGGGGACAAAAATGAATCTCCTGCAGCAGACTGTATGCAGAATCAGTTTCAGGTGCACTGCAGAGCTAAATATGAAAGGTAAATCTGTGAATTTCCTAAATGATGACATAGGGGGCTATAAATTTAGGCTGCTTTGGTGTAAGGCAATGTTACATTCTTTCTTCTGAGAGGCAATTATGCAGTGTGATCACTTTATAATAACAAGCTGCACACTTACCGTGTGCACACTTTTATATGTGTATGCATGCTTGAACTTAAATACTTATTTAAAAACAAAGCCTCCCAAAAGAAAGAATTATCTTTAAAAAAGTGGCAGTTCAGTTGACAGCTGACTTCTCAACAGCAACAGTGAAAGCCAGGAGTCATTAAAATGATATTATTGGTATGCTGAAAAAAAATGCTGCCTATTGGAACACTCTACTCAGTAAAAATATGTTTCACAAATGGAGGTGAAATAAAGATATTTTCAGACCAGGTATATAACATCCTCTGCACCAGGATGGGTGCATTTAGCAGGATGGCCTGATAAAGTAAGGTAGAACCTAGAAACAAAAGTAAACCTGACAGATAAAGACCGAATCTAGGAACAGTGTATTTGTTCTTGTCAGTGCTCTCCGCAAACCATTGTCCACCCTCCTCCTCCTTCCCAGACTCCTCGTCACCACCAGGCCCTCCCCATCCCCTCATTTCTCTTTCATGTATGCTGCTTTATAGATTGAGGTTTTTTAGTTAAAAAAATCTCAATTACTTTTTCATTCTTATTTTATTTCTGTAAAATTTGTTTTTACTTAACACAGCCCCATGTTCTATCACCCATTTAAAACAAAAGCAAAAAACCTCCCCCGAATCTACCTTCCTCCTCCAACAAACACCCATTTTTTGCTCTCTTTTACAACAAGGTAAGAGATGTCTGCTTGCTGTCTCCATTCTTTCACTCTGTGCCTGTCTCCCTTTAATTCAACTCAACTGTTTTCCCCAGTACTAAATCAGTGTTGTTAATGATCTATAATAATATCAAACACTTATGTATTACCTACTAGGTACCTGGCACAGTTCCAAGCCCATTACATGAATTAACGTACTGAACGCTCACGACAGTCCTGTGAAGTAGGTAGTGACTGTCCCATTTTACTGGCGACACTGAAGCATCGGTTAAGTAACTCATCCAAGGTTATGATACCTAGTAAGCGGTGGAGCCATGATTCGAATCTAGACAGTCTCCCAGAATGTATGCTCCTGGATCATACGGCCTCTTTACTTTGCTAAATTAAGTTCTCTGCTTATTTTACCTCTCAGCAAAGCACTTTCTTTGCAGAATTTAGAAACAAATACACTCTTCTGTCTCGGTAACTATTCCCTTTCCACTCCTTCACTGGTTCTTCTCCTTCCTCTGTCCTCATCTCTCCTCCACTTACATTGTTCCTGAGATCAGGACTTGAAATACTGTCTTTTTGTTGTCTCCAGCCCTGACTCACCCTTGAACTGCAGACTCGTGTCCACCCTTGGACATCTAATGGCTCTAGCCTGATAGGAAAAACCCGGATCTTCAGTAAATGGTGTCACCGTATCCTGAGTCCAACACCCAAGACCATTCACATCCCAGGAAGTCCTGTCAGCTCCATCTTCATAAATAAATCCCTAGTCTGCCTGCTTCTCATCACCTCTGTCACCACCACCTTCGTTGACGTTTCCATCTCTTCCCTGGACTGCTGCAACAGCTGTCTTCCTTCGGCTGTTCTTGCCTCCCTCATATCTGTTCAGAGTGCAGCAAATCCAATGATCTTTTCAACACAAATCATGGCATCCTTGTGCTCAGAACTCACCTTGTTTTCCATCACACTTCACACTTAGAATTCAAACTCTTTACTATGGCACTGAGGCCCTCTGTGGACCAGGCTCTTTTCTACCTCGCTGTCTTCATCTCCTGCCGTGTTGGCCTCCCTGTTCAACCCCAGCCCCGCTGACCACCCTCTGTTGTTTCAGCACACCAAAGGCCTTTCCAGCTTGGGGCCTTGTACTCGCTGTTCCGTCTGCCTAGGACACTTTCTTCAGGATTTTACATGACTTGCTTCCTTGCATCATTCAGTTTCTGCCGGACGCCATCTCATCGGAGAAGCACGCTCTATCCCCTTGCCCTGCTTTGTTTTCTTTAGCGAACTTACCATTAGCTGATTACTTATTATGTCTCTGCTACTCGAAATCATACCCCATCAGGACAGAGGCTTGGTCTGTCTCGTTCAGTGCCTTTTCCTGTCATGTTGTAGACCCGCGGTAAATGCATGTTCCGTAAACTGAAAGAATGAGTATTATGCAACTGCATTCCATGAGTCCCGGCCCTTTGCCTACTTCATTCTTGTTTCCCTACCCACTTTCCATGCCATCTTTTCCTAATTTAGTTTAATATTCTAACCCTTACCTCCTTGTTTTTTGCTTTTGTGTGTGGAAACATGATTTACAGGAAGGTTTACAGGTTACAGTGGTGTGTTCACATTTTATAAGTAACTGGCCTGCTCTGTTCCATTGTGCTAAGGCGATTTGTGTGGAACTTCTTCCGCTTGGAGAACGAACATCTGAATAACTGTGGTGAATTCCGTGCTGTGCGGGACATCTCCGTGGCCCCTCTGAACGCTGACGATCAGACACTTCTAGAGCAGATGATGGACCAGGAGGACGGAGTACGGAACCGCCAGAAGAACCGACCGTGGAAGAACAGCCAGAGCATATCCCTGCGCCGGCCTCACCTCACTTCTCAGTATGTATGGCTTCCGCTTCTGGGAGACGAATTCCACTCCAGTTTTAATGCACTGGAGCTAATAAGACACTCTCAGGGCGAACCAAATGAATTGGCTGGCAATCATTTTTCACCTGCAAAAAACAGCAGTAACAGTAATTTCATATGATCCAACCTGTAGAATGTCCTAATGAGCACACAGAGTAAAAATGACATTAATACATTAATTAATGACCACTGATTTGGTGTTATAAGTACAATGGGGGAAATTTGTTGGAGAATAATTTATGTGACTCCTCAGTGTGTTTTGTATACAAATAATTTTCAAGTCACAAGCTGCAGGAATCCTGGCTCTGCCACTTGCCACCTGTATGACCTCCGCCAGAGTACTTAATTTCTGCACATTAGCCCTCAGCTGTTCATTGGTATTGGTGTGGCTCCTGTTCATGGGGTGGCTAAGTGGATTGGATTTGTTGTGATGTGGGATTTAGGCCAGTTCCCTCACAGAAAGAGCTCAGTAAGTACTTATAAGCTATTTTAATTTTTTTCCTAAATACCTGCAATAGTATTTTTATCAGTCATTGACTTTATATGTTCCTAAAGATAACAATAAAAGTAGGATACAATGTGGCTACATTGGAAATTTAGAGATATTATACATCACAGTGGGTTGGAATGAAAGGGAAGACTTCAAGTCGAGCATGAGCAGCTTTCTAAAGGATAAGGAGTGTTTGAGCAAGCAGGCCAGAGGCACGGTGAGACAGAAGGGTGAGACAGAGGGGCAGAAAGGAAAGCCATGTGACTGGAACTGTAGCAAGAACATTGAGCTGAATAGATGAAGTATGATTGTAAAATGCTGCAAAGTACAAGCTTGATTGTGTAGGCAGGAAGGAGTCACAGAGAATCTTTTCACAGAAGTATGAAAGTCATATTTTTGTAGGATTTAATGGTTCTGCAATATGTACTTTCCAGTATTTTGAAGTATGGGACAACAAGGACTTGGATTAGAATGCTTACAGTAGGACTAAAAGGAATATAAGAAAGTAGAAAATAAGAGGTGGTAATGATAACATATAGAGGAACAGAGTATACATTGCCCAAGTTTTAGATAGAATTTGAAAATTCTCTGAAAAGAAGAATGTAGGGGGAAAAAGAGCAAGGAACTACGCCTTAGGGAGCAAAGACAGGCAAGAGAAAGAATAAATGAAAGGGGCAGAAAAGGAATGGTCAGGGGTCCGTAGGAAGAACCTCAAAACACAAAGCATGATATTATAGCAAGGAAGCAGGAGGAGAGGCGTGGGAACTGGTGGGGTCCGCAGATAAATGCCACAAAGGGCTGAAGACAATGCTGTTGTCTCACTGAGCTCCTAAATTTGAGAATCTAATCTTTGTTAGTTGCCAGCAGAGGGCAGCCTAAACATGCACTTTTTCTGTTTCCAAAACAAGGAAGCTCTTTGGCAGTAGGTTATGTTCAATTTCAGGTGTTCGTGGAAAAACACTGGAATACTAAATTGCAGCCGGAAAGATGTTTAGAACAGTGGAGCAGGTTATGTGCAAGGAGAGAACAGGGGATCTAAAATAAGATCTGGATTTGAATGTTTTGCGACTCATGCAACCTTTAACACATCCTTAACCTTTTTGAATGTCAGTTTCCACCTCTGTCAAGCAGGAATAAATAATACCTACTTCACCAGATACCACTTTGACCTCATGGGGCTCATAAATTGCAGAATATTTTGATAATATTATCTAATCCCTTTTTTAATGTTGTTTTTCTTTTTAAAGATTTATTTTTACACAGAGGGGAAGGAAGAGAGAAAGAGAAGGAGAGAAACCTCAATGTATGGTTGCCTCTCACATGTCCCCACTGGGGACCTGGCCCGCAACCCAGGCATGTGCCCTGACTGGGAGTCAAACCTGTGACTCCCTGGTTCACAGGCTGGCCCTCAGTGCACTGAGCCACACCAGCCAGGGCTAATCCCATTTTTCATTCAATGAAGAAATCTCTTCTACAGCATCCTGAAGAGATGATCATCTCATGCTGACTGATAATCGTCAGTGGTAATGAAGTTTATAATTACATGAGACATGTGATTTTATTGTTGGATAGTCACCATAGTAGATAGCTTATGCGGGGCTGAGATATGTTTCACTATAACTTCAACCAGTTGATCCTAGATGGGCTCTTTAAGATAACAGTCTCTGCCCTGGCTGGTGTGGCTCAGTGGATTCAGCGCCAGGTCACCAGTTTGATTCCGGGTCAGGGCACATGCCTGGGTTTTGGGCCAGGTCCTCAGTAGGGAGGTGTGAGAGACAACCACACATTGATGTTTCTATCCCTCTCTTTCTCCCTCCCTTCCTTGCTCTCTAAAAATAAATAAAGTATTTTTTTAAATAAGGTAGCAGTCTCCTCCCTCTTCTATATCATACTTTAAACTGTTCGAAGCCACCTGCCATGCCTCTCCCTAGGTCTTGTCTTCTGCAGGCGCACTAACTCGCCTGCGTTTTCATTGTGCCTCAAATGGCATTTCTGTCCTCCTCGTCAGAATTCATTATATTTGTTGAATGCTTTTTACATCCATTTTCCTGATATTCATACTATCCCCATGAGGTGAGAGTAGCATTATGTGTAACATGTACTGTTATTACTGCTCTACAGAGATGCAGATTGGCACTCAAAGAGGTTAAATAGATGCATCATAAAATCAAAGTCAGTACTCAAACTCAGATCTCCTTGTTCCAAAACACTACTCTCTCTGTTCCATATGACTTGCCGTTGTTCTTACTGCCTTCCTGTGGTTGCAATCTAGTTTCTTAGTGTTTCCCTAGTAATACCTTAAACTGAACTTGAAACTCCAGGAATAGTCCATCTGGTGCAGCACGTAGACCCTGTCTGGTAACAGTGGAAATGGACCTGATGCTGTGGGTGTGTTTGTATGTTAGTAATGGACTAAGTGCTCTGCTTTGCTCTTTTCCCCCTCACCACCACCAGATCCAAGACTCGTGACACTAAGGTATTGATAGAAGACACAGATGATGAAGCTAACACTTGAATCCTCTGAAGTCTGGATTAACACCCTTGGTTTTCCTACTCTACAACTCTTTCCTCGACCAACGCAACCTCCAGCACCTTTCCAGCCGAAAACAGGAGAAGACACGTGACACACTTTCCGAGCTCTTCCAGATCGGATCCTATGGACTCCAAACAAGCTCACTGTGTTTCTTTTCTTTTGGTTTAATTTTCATTTTCTATTTTTAAAACAAATATTTACTTCATTTTGCCAATCAGAGGACATTTTAAGGAACAAAAACAGTATCTTATGGATTGTTTACAACCACAAGGACACAGATACCTATCAGGATGAAGAACACGCATTGCAAGGACCCTCTGCTGGGACGGTACTGAGATACTTTGGCTTCTGCTTGGCCCGGTTTTGACTGGTTGAAACCGGACATGGTTTTTAAATTTTTTGTCAGTGTATGTGGAGAATTTTTTCCTTTCCTTCATACCCAGCGCAAAAGCACTGGCCGCACTTGCAGGAAAAGTGCAACTTAGAGCAGTACCTTCATTCATGAAGCTACTTTTTAATTTGATGTAACTTTTCTTATTTGGGGGAGGGTTGCTGGGTGGGTGGGAAATACGATGTATTTGTTACATATAGTTTTCTCATTATTTATGAAACTTAACCATAAAAGAATGCTATAACTCCTGTGCAATGAAGGTGATAACAGTGAAAGAAGATGGGGAAACTAATGTTGGACAGCGTTTATGAGGGTTTAGTCCACAATACCTCTTTCATGAGACAACTTGCACCCGTTTGACCTTTTCTTTTCTTTCTTTTTAATTTTAAGCCAAAGTTTTATTACTGATTTCTTAAGTTGCTGCTGCTTTAGAATTCTGAGCATGTCTCTAGTAACAAAGCATCCACACACTTTCACACAGACGGCTGAAACGTATCTAAGAGTTCTGATACCTTTTGTCCCTTTAAGGGGCAGGTGTGGAATATGTATGTATTCCAACCGTAACAACTAAAAGTTATGCCTTGTTAAGCTTCAGCATGTAGAGTAATTGAAATATAACCTTTACTAATTCTAAATTAGGAGACAAAGCTATTTCAGAGACTCTACGCCCTCATTGGATAGCTTTTCTTCTGGGCTTACTTCCCTTAGCCAGAATGTGATCAAATTAAGTCTATCCTGGGGAAACCATGTTTTTGAGAGCACAGAACAAATTAGCTTTCCTCTTTCACATCACACTGATAAAACAGACCTTGGCAGCCATTTCTCCCCACAGTTTTAAAGGATAAACATTGGATTTCATGCCATCCTATGATACAAAGCCTGCTTTTAAAATTTTCAGGGTCTGAGCTTGGTCATACACAAAAAGCATATTTCTTAGACATTTCATACTATCATGGTCTGTACACAATGCCCATTTTCACTTTTTGTCTTACTTCTTTTGTGTGTTCCTAACCCTAACCCAAATGAGCCCCAAAACTTCAAGGGATTATACTTTCTCGAATGTGGTTGGCATTAAATTTAGCATTTCATTATTTAACAAAATTAATATAAATACCAAGAAAAGTAAAATATATTTTAATCTTCCTTTCCCCCAGATCTAGATAAAGATTCCAAAGTAGACATCAGTGGATTTGTGAAATTAAATTACTTCTATCATTGTCAGCTTAATTTTAGACAAAGGAACAAAAAAGAGAAGAAGGGCAGCTATTGTCACTTAGTCTTAAAAACAAATGGCCACTGCCCCTTGATACACTCTTCACCGTCAGCGTTTCTCCCACTCAGCCTGGTTATAATTTCAGGAGATTACACTACAGTTACTCTTACTGCCAGAATTCTGTCCATTAACGGACAAATAGTTTCTTTTTAAGGAATTTCTTCCATCTTTATTCTGAAAAGCTTCTACAATGTTCCCTTTCTGAATAGAGGGTTTTTTTTGTTTTGTTTTTTTCTGAGATATCATACAACTTTTTGGCTTTGATTGCTTTGCTTTTTGTGTGTGTGTTTCACCAAGCATGTCCCTTGTCCCAAAACTGAAGAGGAAAAGTTTAATTACTGAGTTTTATTTTTCAGTTTAAATAAATCGAATCATTTATAATAATCAGTGGTAACAAGTTATTGCCCCTTAATAGATTAAAGGTTTGCATTAATAATACCTGAGATTTTCTTCCTAACTATTGTTTTTGTACTTTAAAACTATGGGGGAAATAATACTGGTCTGTCAAGAAATAGCAGTTAATTATTGCTGAGTTACATAAATAAGTCTGGTGGATCAGTAATTTCTTATACAAATAAAATTGATGGTACTAATGTATATCCACAGCAGTTTGAATGATCAACTTCATTCTTCATTAGTAAACCTATATGATGACACATAAAATCTTACAGATGACTTCTGACATATTAACTAAGTATGTCCCATGGCCAATCTGGTCTGTCTTCAACTGTTACGACTCTGGGCCCTAATCAGTATTATTTATTCATAGGTAACATAATGTTAGAATGTATTTCTTTTCTGGTGTGCTTGTCCTATTAGCTTAGTCTATTCTGAAATGATAAGGCTTATGTAACTTTCAGCTTACCATGACAGACGCTTAAATATGTATTCGAACACACACACACAGCTTGATGTTCCTTCTAAAGCTGTAAAGAGAAAAGAGGGCTTTTCCTCATCAGGAGGAAATAGTTTTGGAGACAGAACATACATTTGATTTTTTTCCTCCATAAAAAGGCAGTGTGCATTTTTCTCTCCTCAATGTTTTATGTCCTAGCAGTTGTGAATGCTATGGCCTACCTAAAATTTTACTGGAGACTCCTGTGCAGTGAAGCGCTCAGTAGGACTCTTAGGAAGTGAATATCACAGAGTCACTTGAAAGGAACAGCAATCTAACCAAAGGTAAAACTCCATCTAATTTTAGGTTTAGAAAATCTAATTGTATTTTATTTGAGAATTTCACAATTTCTGATAGTTAAAATACTCCCCAAAGGAACGTAAAGGAAGTATAAGCAAAAGAATAAAGTTCATTTTTCATTTTATGATAGGTAGTGTGGAAAGCATTGACGTGTGTAGAGAAACTAGAAGGCAAAGGGGCTTATTTTCTATGCACAAATGTGCACCTATATTTAAGGCTGCCTTGTGCCATTAAAATGGAATAATTGATGATTTTATATCATACAGGGAGACAACAAAATAATCAAAGATTAATTAGGTTATTAATTAGATTGTTCTTTAAGATTGGAAAGAAGTTGAAAACCCATTTGCAACTTTCTTTTCCAGCACCTACCATTTTTCTCCCTAAGAAAGTGCTTCCGGTTCAGAAGCAGTGGTGTGAGAGAATGCCAGCCACCTCGGCAGTAACGTATATGGACTCTTAAAGGAGGAAAATGGGGCCCAGCCCCTAGGACGCATGGCTTCCCAATATTCTCAACATGAGAGTTCTAAGAAATGAACCGAGATTTTACTAGAAGTAAAATCCACCATGGTTTGACCGAAGTGCATTCATGATAACTAGAGAAAGCAGTTCATCCTTTCTTATCAGGTAAACTAATTCAGATTAAGAATCAAAGAAAATAAACTGTTACTGAATCATACAGGCATTAGTTAAAGAGAAATCAAATAATCGTGGCGATGGCAGAGAAGAGAGAGGATGTTAGAACTTGGAAGCAGATGCAGGGCAGCTAGGAAGGTCCATGAGCTCATGGCATAGAGGTGATTGATGCCTTGCTGCCTCTCCCTCTAGTGGTTTTGCAGCTGGTAGAGACCTGCCCTTTTTTCCCTGCCATCTTTTTCCATTACTTTGCATTATTCAGGAAATAGTTCTTTATGCCAAATGTAATTTTCTAAGTAATGACTAGAGAAATTTCTTAGTCTAAGGAAAATAATTTAGAAAATAACCTTATCCATGGCATTATTTTATTCAAAAACTTAGAATTCTCTAAAGTTATTGCACTTTATTTGGTAAACAAATTCCAAGTTATTTTCTTTAATAAGACTGCATAAAATTTGCCTTTCTTAAAAAGTTAGTACTTCTTGCTATATAACATTTAAATTATTTAAATTAAGATAGCTTCTCAGATTTAAAAAATAATCATGGTGAATCTATGGCTTTGTCAACTGCAGTATCACCAGGCTTCTCCCTAATCTAAGTAAAAAGTCAATATCATTACATTTAAGATCTGTAGTCACTAGGTTAAGACAATAAAAGTTCTGGTAGAACTTCAGAAAAAGTCAGGTGAAGGGTAAATCAAATTTATCAGCTTAGTTCATTTTCTGTTTATGGTGCATCTAAATTTTATTTTTGGCTTGTGATGATAAGCTGAAGCAAGGGGAGTTAAGGTGAGATTTTATAAATTACTGGAACATATATTTCTGCATTTGAGTTATCAGTGATAGTAAATCTTAAAAGCTAACTTACTGCATTGAATTTCAATCTATACAATGTCAGAGCACAGTGGTAATGTGGGATAGAGTTGATTATATTAAAGCATAAGAAATTTGTGCCCATCAGTGCTACAAAACTAATAAATTGACTAGCACTAAACCACATTCCACCCACCAAATATGAGAAAGTAAAAGCATCTTCTTAGATTTGGAAGAGCTTAATTAAGCGCTGTGAGAAGTTTGGGAATGGAGAGGAGCTTGCTAATCGGAATGGCTCATAATGCCTTTCTTGTATGAACCCGCAAAACTCTTTTATTGAGTTGCCCCTTAAAACAGCCTTCCAGAATGCATAGCTTACTTCTCGAGGAAGAGGAGGGGAGAGGGACAAGATGAGAGTTTCCCCCGAAGAGGATCAGTCTAGTAATTCTCATCTAACGTGTGTTTCCTTGTAGCAGACCTTTGGTTTATTTTATTAAATCAAAGCCACCTTCAGTTTTTTTATGGTGCCATCAACCTAAGAAGGACAATCAAATAACCAGTTGTTTGCCTTTGATTCAGTGTGTCTGCTAATTACACAGTCTCATCTGTATACCTTCAACCCAGTTACTTGACTAAACTTCCACCATATTACCTTAGTTCTTCCTACACCCTTTCCTCTGTACCACCACCAATCAGAAGGAGGAAGACTTAACTACCAGAAAGACATGGACTTCTACGAAAGAGCAAGGATTCCATCTCACTAACCCTTTATCATGACCTCTGAAGTCCCCATCCACACTCCCCTGATTGTCCTGTAGCAACACCAGCGTGGTGGGAATAATCAGAAAGATCGTGGGGAATTTCAAAGGAGTAACTGATCATGACATTGTTACTGTTTTGAACTATAAAAATGTGAGCCACTCAATGTTTTCAAAAAGAACAGAACTCTTAAGCTTGATCACATTGCAAAGATTAATTTCTTGCTATTTTCCAGATTAGCACAGAAGCTTGTATCAATGAAGAGTATTTAGGAGGGAAGTAGGGTGTAAAATGTATCTTTTTTTCAAACCCTCTTCCTCTACTCATTTCCTTTCACCCCCTACCACATTGTGTTGGTCAAATGATACTATTCTATGAAACCCTGAGCTATAGTTGTCAAAAGTAACTATGGAATGTGATTAGTCCTCTGTGGGTGCTTCTTTCCCTCTTTTTTTCTCCCTTTCTTTCTTACTCTCTCTACTCTGGTAAATGGAAAAGGTGACGTCAAAGAATTGATGCTTGCTTGGACTCATGTTGTATCTGTGACTATGCTGTTAGCTGTCTCCTTTTTCCTTATATGGGTAGAATTCTTATGAAGTATGGAGTTCCCTTCTTGATAAGTAGGTTAAATGCACAATGTGGTACTGTTTTATAGTTTCTAGATGGTTGTATAAAGCAAAAACTTAATGTGGTTATGTGTTTTTAAAAGAAAATAAGTGATTGGTTATAAAACTCTGTCCTTCTTTTCATTATTACAAGCTCTCCCTGTTTTCCAACAGTTTGCTGACTCCTTTGTCACTGGCAAATGGTTTGTGATTGTGTTTTTCTCTCTGGGGTTTTTCGATTCCTGAACATGCTTCCTCTTAGGACTAAATTATGAAAGGGCTTAGGTCAAACAGACTTCAAGAGTGAAAAAAGTTTTAACTCTTTTGTTAAGTTAAAAAATAATCTTAAATGGCCTTTTTTAAGGCAATATATGAATTGTGACTTTAAACTAATGGGATTGATGTAATAGGTTGTTTTTGGTTTTGTTTTTACTCACACAAAGAATCTCAAGTATTAGGTGAAATGATACGTTCAGTTGCATTTTGGGGAGCTGGACACCTGTTATCACTACATAACCATGCCCTGTGTGGGAACATAGAACTTTCTGTAGAATTCCTGGATTAGTTATCACTCCTTATGTATGTCTGTCTAGGAAAAAAATTTTAAATTAACTAACCCTAAGATGAATATACTCAAAATGCAAGAAGAAAAACATTTTATTGGCTAAAGCATAAAAGCATTTTTATTTTAAGTATTTTAAGACCACAAGCTCTGTTCTTATTCCACTTCTATGTAGGCTAAATCAGAATGTGACAATGTGGAGTTTCCAGACTAAATCCAAGGTAAATTGTGAGTATGTCTGAATCACTAGATACTTAATACCCCTTCCTATAATCTGATGATAATACATACTCAGCATTCATATGCATATAATATTGTACATTTTTCGAACTTATAGCACCTCAGATACACGGGTTAACAGTCACCTCAATTTGTAGATAACAAGACAAAGACCTAGACCAGCCGAGGGCACAGTCCCATGTGATTTTCCAGGGCCCCTCTCTGCTCCCTTGTCTCAGACGTGTCCAGAGCCTCCAGACTGTGTTTAGTGACTTGTATCTTTATGTGGACAATTTTGATTAAAATAAGTTTTTGAATTTTTTAAAATTAATTTAATATATGCTTATTGAGTTCCTATCATTATAGTTTTATGGAATCAAGTGGGGAAAGGTGATAAAAGTTATTTCTAGACTACTTATCAGAAACCACTGCCCAAAAGGCCGTACTGTCCTGTTATTAGATGTCCACCCCAGGGTGAGCCGAGCTTCCTCAAATCAGAGATTCCTCTTCACGCCTTCCTAGGCAGCTGATATCCTGGGTTTTTATTCCTTCAGAACTTCACAGTGCCAAAAACCTGTTCTTATAATTCACTTAAAACTTACTTCCTAGGAATGTGTTACCTGAATGGATGTACTTCTTTTTTAACAGCTAGGGGCAGCTTCCCCCCCAGGAAATACTTAAATGTTACAATTAAGTAACATATTAGCCTCGAAGTTCACCTAGTGTTTATCTTTATAAAATGAAGTCTCCCCCCGAATATTAATATATTTTTGTATCGACTGCGTAGCCGAATGAGAAGGAGGATGATCATGGCAGTCTCCCTTGCCCCAAGGTGGGCGGCCCCGTGGCTCCTCCCCTGCATGAGTGAACAGCATAACCAGTGTTCGTGGATGGTTTTGGCAGTAGGTTTACTGTGCTGTTTCACTTTGTTATAAAGGAGAATATTCCCTGACCGATGGGGCTCAGCTGGTTGGAGCATCTTCCCACAAAGCAAAGGGTCGCAGGGTTGATTCCTGGTCAGGGCCCATGCCAGTTCGGTCCCGTCAGGGCACACACGAGAAGCAACCGATCAGTGCTTCTCTCTCCCTCTCTCTTTCTCCCTCCCCTCTCTCTAAAAATAAAAATATTTTAAAATAAAGTAGAATATAAGCTTATAGGGTAAGGAGAAAATAAGTAACCCAGGAGAAACAGGCAGGTAACAGAATCCAGGAGAAGATAATTAATTTTAATTCCCCAATCCTTTGCCACTTTCCTGAATTTAAAAATAGTATATATTATGTGAAGTAAACAAATTTGTTTTATTTGTGGCTTGTTAAACACCACCTTCTGACCAGATGAGTCAGTAAAATTAAAAATTTCAGTTAATCAGAGCTTTTGTATCCCTTCTGTGAGGAAGTACCAAGGTAGGTCGAATAACAGTTCATCAAAGATTATTCCTGTCAACTGTTGGATTTGGACATATTTTTCTGCACGTCCATAGATGCTTTAGACAACTTGAAGCCCCTCCGCAGCAGCCCTAGCCAGAAGCCTCGCTGAGTAGGGTGTGCCCTGCTGCCGGTGACCGTGCCCACGAAGACATACCCTGGTTTCCTCGTGGGGCAGGGCCGCAGGCCTGGCTGGTCTGGAGCGTTAGTGGTGATAATACAAGTCAGCAAAGAAGAAACATTGTTTTTCCACATGTGCTTTGTTGTCACCAGGAAGTCACGCAAAATCATATTTGCTAAAATGTTTGGAACTTTTAGTAGTAGGGGCTTAATAAATATTTGTTCAACTAAAAGGGAGCTTCCAGATCCTGTCAGTAGAGGAGCTGCTGAGTAAAGTGAGGGGGTAGCTGGCCTTTTCGGTTGACTGCGCAGAGGCTGCGCCTCTTAGGAATGCTTGCTTCCTGGCCAGCTGGCCAGTGTCCTCATTTCGATCCCGTGTGAAAACTTGATTCTGGTGCTGCTTCATCCTGTGGACGTTCTAGTCTCACCCACAAGAACAGACCAGGTTCCTCCAGGGCAGAGCAGTCTGCTCACCCTCACTGCCTCCCGCGGGCAAGGCGCATCAGTGTACGTCACCTAGTGTGGGCTAGCTCCACTTGCAGAGGAGAGAGCCAGAGTGTTAAGTGACTGGCCTTGGGCGCTGCAGTAATCACTGAACCTAGGACTGGCACCCAGTTCTGACGGACTCTATAGCCCACATTCACTCTCCTTAAAAGGGGGGTGGGGCTTACCTGCTTTGCAGTCAAAACTAGAAAGTAGCTTGTGAATTATTGCTTCTTTCAAAAGCTGTGCTTGGTCAAGATCAGAATGTAGTAACTGTTTTAAAGAAAATCAGAGAACACCCTCCACCCTCCCACCACACACACAACCATAGGTTCTCCGTCAGGCTGGGTCCCACTGACCGCAGCTTTCTGGAAACTTGTTCTCTGCCCCCAGGGAAAACCGCCTGTGGGATTTTTTTTTTTTTTAAACTAAATAGTAAATTAGCTCTGTTTTTCACAGTCCTCTCTCTTGAGCCAACTACTTCCTTTCTCTTCCTTTCAGTTGTTAAAATCTTCACTGGTGGTGAATTGGGATGTTACACTGAGGAAGATAGGTACTTGCAATGTATTCAGCATTTGAGACTTAAAGAGGAGATAGTAGCTATGGAGCAGTGAGACTGGGCATTTGCTCAGTGCCATCGCTGCCAGTAGAAGTATAACAAACAGTGGAGGATAAGTGCCAGGCCATGGAAAGCCACGTGTGGAACCAGAGGACCGCTTTGGTCGCATACAAAGAAGCTCTCATGCTCTCCAGTGGGAAGGAGGAGAAAGTGAGGACCCGGCCCAGGACTTTGTAGAGTAGCAGAATTGCAGTCAGGTAAACCCAATCAAGGCAGGCCTGTTAGGCAAGGTCAGAGTTCTGACTGGGAAAACCTGACTCCTCAGCTATAACATGGCTGTCCCTCCACCTCCAGCATGCACACACGCAAGAAGGTTTTGGCTCCCTGTCCCATTCTATCAATGACAGGAGACATTAAGGAGGCCTGTCTTGTGTGAGAAAACGTGCACCGCTCAGGATCCTCCATGACTCTGCTGGGCCTGCTGGGCCTGCGGAGGGGAATAGGGACTGCGCACTGAAGGAGCCCCAAGCTAACAGCATGTACTGGCAGGAGCTGGAGGGGATCCTGAGGGTGCTTGAAGGGACCGGCGTGTGAGATTGAATAGAGCAGATTTTTTTATTGGAAAGTGCTCCTCCAGATACAGAATTCAACTCCCTACCAAGGGTTCCAGGAGTTGGCGCTTAGACACGGCGGTGACTCAAATCGAACCTCTCATACTAGGAGGAGAAAAAGATGGACACCCCGGAGGCTGAGGGCAGTTGCCCCAATAAAATGTCACAACCCCTTGCCCAGTTTCCAAACCTGAGCCAGTCTTCAGCCCTGGAACCATTGACGAGACCGGCGGCTGGGTCTGTAGGAGGGAAAGCACGGCAGTGTCAGCGGGAATACGCACAGTAATGATCCCCCTAGATCCTCCCCACGGGCACTTAAGGTTACTTTCTCAGGTAACCCGGAAAAGGGAACACCCAGGTATTTTGGGGACTGTGGACATAGGGCTTGAGTTGTCAATGATACCCAAAGACTCAAATCATCTCAGCTCCCATGTTAGATTTGGGTTCTGTGGGAGCCAGATAATAAACGTCATCCCGATCAATGTCCAGTTTACAGAGGTCCACAGTCCCCGTAGACCCACCCAGTGGTCAGTTACCCAGTCCTCAAATACATAATTGGAATGACCTATTTGGCAGTTGGCCAAACCCCCCACATTGCATCTTCGATCTGCAAAATAAGAGCTGCGCTGGGAAAGGCCAAGTGAAAGTGTCTCAGATTAACCTTTCCTCTAGGCATAAATGGGGAGAGATGAGGATAGAGGTTATGGCCACATTCTGTCTTTCTCCTCCTCTCCATCCCTGTTTTGTTGACCAATCTGGCCCCCGGAGAAACTGCACGGATTAGGGAGGGTCACTACAGACCATCCCGAGCTCCGTCAAGCACCACTGCAGGCTCAGGCACGGTGCCAAACGTGGTGTCTTCACTAGCCCGGATCAGTACCACCTCAAGTGTGTGGTATTTAGCCATCGACTTGGTGAAGACATTCCAGAGGATCAGAAACAATTCCCATTTCCATGGAGATGACAATATACATCAGCAGTTCTTCCCCAAGGCTATATATTAAGTCCAAAAAGATCTGGACAAGGTGGATATCCATAGAACATCACATTGACCCATTATATCGATTGGGTCATCTGAGCAAGAGGTGGCTAGCATGCTGGTTACCTTCAGAAGACGTGTTCCAGAGGACTGCAGCCTCCTCCTTTGGCTCGCAGTTGGCTGCCCTCTCTCTGTGTCCTCAACGTGACCCTTTCT